AATCACTAGGGTCTACTTAAACAGCTGTTCCTCCTCCTTTGTGTTTCCATACTTGATAGTTCTACCTAGGTTGCCCTTTTTGTTAATCTGCGTGTGTTCTGTTGTGCATAGGGTTTTCAGAGGCCTGCTATTTCAGAAGTGGGTGGCCAATGCTTCTTTCTAGTCTGTCTTAATCTGAATGTTCAGATTTAGAGGAGCATCTGACAGACAGCAATTTGTGATTAATATTTGCACTATTATTAATACTTGGTGAAGATAAAAGACTTTTTAAACTGTGAATATCATTCACCTGCTCACACAAAATCTCTGTCTCAATGCAAAGGTGATAGATCTTGTGACAAAATTAATTCTCACTTGTGGCAATAATTAAGAGACTAACATACTGGTAATTTCTGAACGGCATCTACAGTTCTTAACTTTGGCAAAAATTGCCTGTTACCTTAGGTTTCGCCACACATCTAGTTATGCATGATAGTAGATGGCACAGATATTATCTATGGCATGTAGTTTGGCATAATTTATATTTAGATTGTTCTCAAATTGCTTCATATGGGCAATTATGATTTTACAGAAGGATAATGAAGTTCTTGAGAAGCAAGAACCATAAATTACATTTTTTTCTCTCACAATGCTGGTATAATGTTAGACTCATTTGTTTTGTAATTATCCACCATTATGAGTATCATTATCAAAGTAAACAGTATTTCTTGAGCAAACACTAATAAGATATCTAAACAAGAACTTTCAAGAATTATTTGACTTAAGCGCAATGATTCAAATGAGGTGAGACTTCAAAAACCTCCCTGTCATTGAGTTGGTACCGACTCATAGTAACCCTCCGTCTGATTTTTCTTTCCTTCTGAGCTGCTGGTGGATTCCAACCACCTGTGAGTTAATAGCACAATTAGTAACTCGCTATGGCCCACCAGGCTGTGCCACCAGAGCTCCACATCTCAGTCTCAAGAGATAGCTATGATTTCCCCCTTTTCACAAGAGATAATGCAATTCAGGCAATATCTATCACATGTATATCATGATTCAAATCCAGCAGTGGTTCCATGTGAAAACAACGGGCAGTCTTCTCATGGGTTTTAGCCGATAGAGGAGGGTCAACTGTGAGTTGATGCAATTAGTTTGATTTGAGTGGAAAAATCTAGGAAATATTGGGTGGGATTGTTGTTGTTCTCATAATCTTAATTTAACATTTATGATAAGGCAATTTGAAGGCAAATTTCCAAGTTCGTTTTTCTTGACTCATTATTTTATTTATTGTTGTTGTTATGTGCCATCAACTTGCCTGCGACTCATAGCGATCCTATGTACAACAGCCCTATACCCTGCTCTCTTTTGCCAATCTCACTGTCTCCGACACATCTACCCCAATTACCCCAGTCACTGAGTCAACCCACCTCATAGAGGGTCTTCCCCTCCTGTTCTGTCCCTCCAGCTTCCCTAGCATGACATCCTTCTCCAAGGACTGGTCCCTCCTTGCAATATGTCCAAAGTATATAAGATGAAGCTTCAGAATCCTTGCCTCCAAGGAGCAACTGGCCTTCACCCTCTCCAGGACAAATCTGGTGACATAGTCTTTAAAGTACTAGGCTGCTATCCAGACATTTGTCAGTTCAAACTGACTAGCTTCCCTATAGGCATGTAATACCCTGCTTTCACGAAGATTACAGCTTTCAAAACCATATAAAGCAGTTCTACTCTAGTCCGTAGGGTTGCTATGAGTCAGAAGCAGCTTTTTGGCAATAGAAGAGGGTTTTGGGTTTATCTTTGTCTCCATTACTAGTACCTTGGTTGGAGACACCATGCTTTCTTTTCTAGATTATTATTATAATCTCTTATCTTTGATTTGTTCCCAGCATAGCACCCAGAGAAGATTCTAGAGAAAAAAAATGTTGCATATTTGCCACAAGAAAATCAGTGAGGATTTCTACCACTGTGAAGTACAGAGGGAAAATGTGGTTACACTCTATCATCGTACAAAGTATTACAGAGCATTTACCATTTAAATATTTGAGTTTTAGAAAATTAATCACACTTATGACATTTTGTAGTATAAAAACTACAGTATTTTGAAATAGATTACAAGTGATGTCTCCTCAGGATTATTTCAATTACTGTATGGGGCATATGATTCTCTGGATATTCAGCAAGTGTAGCTATATAAATATGAATTATAAATATTTATACAACTTAATTTTTGCTACTTAAAAAGAAAATAAACACAACTATAAGTTCCATTAAGTTTTTCCCCACATGTGGATGTATCATCTTGTATAGTCACTGGGGTGTGGAAACCACTGTTTATAGAACACTACTGTAGCCCAAGAATAGGATCCAAAAACCAAACAGTAGTCTTGTGGGTAGAGGTTAGACAAATGGAATGAATCACCAACTTTGCCTAAAGACCCATGGAAGCTAGATAAGGAAAGATCAGTAAGGGGCAAATCATCTGTAAAAAGAAGTTAAGACACATAGAAGAGATAGGAGACAGAAAGCATTTATATAGCAACAGAAGAATATTTTGCTCCATACAGCTTTAAAGAAATCATTCTACAAAGCATTTTGAAGAATTGATCTTTTTTTTTTTTCCTTCCTCAACAGAATGAACCCTGTGGAGCAAAGTTTGGTGAGTAACTTTTTTTTTTTTTGCATATATCCCTTTTACTTTCTTTAGGTTTTGATTTAGGGTCAATAGTTCCAATGCCATCGAGAAAATTTGAATTCTCTATTCTGAGTCAAGTAGTATTCTAAGAGTGTGGTTTACAGAGATGACCTAGCAGATAAGCCTGTAAATGGATGAAGCTCACAGTCAAGATTTCCTCTGATAGGAAATCTTCATCACTCTGAAATGCCTCAGCTCTTGAGATTCAAGAATTTACTTTCAGTTCTATATTTTAATGAGGAAAACAAGTCTCAAAATTTCTATAGCCTTTCTCTGACATGCTCCCACATAGTTTATCATTGCTAATGCCTAACACAATAGGTGTGGAGGTACTATTATTTTTTTCATACTTCTAGGAATTGAGAGTAAAAGTTGAGGAATGTCCTCTCCCTCACATACTCTTCTGTTAGCTGCTAATTCACTTTCTATATTGCCACTTTTTATTGGCATGGAAAGGGAGTCCTGATGGTTTAATCCATTGGTTCTAATCCACCGGCAGCTCTGTGGGAGGAAGACGGGCAGTGTCTTCCCATTATGATTTATATCCTCAATGGAGGACTTCTAAGAATTGAGATTTTGAGTTTGATTTGATTGTAATATACCGATAATTTCTTAGAACACATGTAAGTTCTCAACTAAATATATTTTACATTGAATATAGGTTTCAGAATAAACATACCACGTCTTAGACATAAGACAGGTGATAGTAGGGATCACAGTCCCTACATGGAGAAGGACATCGTGCTTTATAAAGAGGAGGGTCAGCAAACAAGAGAGAAACCCTTGATGAGATGGGTTGACACAGTTGATCCAACGGGCTCAAATAACAGCGGAGGTCAGGAGGATGAAGCAGGAATGTTGTATGTTGTACATACGGTTGCTGTGAGTCAGAGCCAACTCCACAGCACCTACCAAACAACTGAAGTTAAAATATTCTAGATGGTGACACGATTCTTGAAGAAAACAAAAGCAGTGTAAAAAGATAATGACAGACTTGTAAACAAAGGCTTCATGGATAAGGTGCTACATTATAAGGTGCTGTCCAGTCAATTCTGACTCATCAGGAGCTCATGAACAACAGATTGAAACCTTACCCTACCTGCACCATCCTCCCAATTTTCATTATGCTCAAACTCATCATTGCTGTCACTGTATAGCTACATTCTTTTTAAAAAAATTGTTGTCTTACATTATTGTGAGTTTAATGAATATTTACAGGAAGACTGAGTTTTCATTCTTCATTGATACATGTTTTCCTTGTCTTTCTCTCTTTCACTGACTGTTTACTTTTCCAGGCATGATTTCTTTTTTTCCAAAGACTGACTCCTCCTAATAGCATCCTCAAAGGATGTGAGATGAGAATGGAATACAAAGTAATATTTATATAGAAAAAAAAAGGACGTGTGCCCTGGACTGCCAACCATGCCAATCAGGATAGAAAGTGTGTGTGTGTGTGTGTGTGTGTGTGTGTGCGTGTGCCCGCGCGCGGGGGCACGCGCTTCCTCTCATTTCTCTTTTCCTTTCCTCTCTTTTTTCCCCCTTTGCTTCTGTAAATTTTAATTGGCACAAGATGCAGTGATGCTTAACTTTACATTTTGGATCTATTTCCTCAGCTCCTCAAGCACTAATAGAAACTTAAAATATTAAAACAGTGGTTCAGGACTACTTGTAGAAGCCAGATAAAAAAAGTATCAATAAGTGAAAAATAATAGTATAGTCAGGAAGAGGAGAAATAACTACACTATTTTTCTTTCCCTTGTCAATTTCTTATAGGCCCATTACCCGCAAGATGGAAAACAACACTTTCTGAACCTCACTGCGTGGCTGTGGAGGAGGACTGGAAACTGACAATACTTAAGGATGGCTTGTACATAATATATAGCCACGTGGTGCCCAATACAACCTACAATGAATCAGCTCCTTTTGATGTGCGGCTGTACAAAAATGAAAGCACCATCCAAAATACCACAGACAACTCTAAAATTCAAAATATGGGAGGGACATATGAATTGCATCCTGGAGATATAATATCTTTGAGATTCAACTATAACTATCAGGTTCTAAAAAATGATACATATCTAGGAATCATATTCTTAGCAAGCCCCCCATTTATCTCCTAGGAACTTGCTTTGGTCCCCTCATCCTCTTTAGCATTCTCAGTGATGCTAAGGGATGGGTATAAGGGCCAGATTAAAAGTGCTATGGTTTGCCTAAAAACACAAATTGACAAAAGCAGACCACCTTTTTTTATTATTATTATTTTTGTGTGCGTGTACCGTCAAATCAGATCTGACTAGTACAGGAGGAGTTTGTCCCTCCTTCCCCGGCAGAGCATCTGGTGGATTCGAACCGTTCGCCTTTGGGATTGTAGTTGCAGCTCCTTGCCACTAGGCCACCAGAGCTCCCCTAGACCACCTTTTTTTGCCTTCATGATTATCTGAGAAAGATTCAGAGGATGGACCAAAGACATTGTCTACCCCTGATGTTGATGTTTGATTCACCAAGACACTTCATTGATCCACGATAAAATGGATGTTAGAATATGAGTGACTGGAGGATAGATGTTTCTAAAAAATATTTAATTCTTGACTCATACCTTGGAAAAAAAACTGATAAATGATCCCATGGTAGTAGCCTCATTATGAAAAAAAAAAAAATCCAGAGTAGTAATCTGCAAGTTTCATGTTCTTGGACTACTTCCTTCCATTCTTTCATATTTTCATCTTCTATGACTCACCCTATAAAAAGTAGTCATACTGGTATGGTGATCACAGATACACTGTCAATAGTCTTACTTGGATGTGGTGATGTCAGTGGGTTGAGAACACTCTATGGAGCTATTGGGACAGAGATACAAGTGGGATGCAATATACTATAAGAATTTCCTTGGGTTTCATACTCAGGATTCAAGGTGCTATTTAAAGCCAATTAGAGTAAAAGGATAATTTTGAAACTTTACTAAGTTTTTGTGGAAATTTGTATCTGAATATTGTTAATGGTAAAGAAAGAGTGATCATTAATTATCATCAATATAATCTCAGAAATCGGAGTTACATTATATCATTGAGTCATGTAATGGTTTTGTATTTTTATTGGCTCTCCACAGTTTGTAAAATGCTTTCATATGTGATGAAAATGCTTTTGAAAAATGCTTTCATAAGTAAGAACTCTGTGAAGTCAGTTTTACCAGTAAGAATGTGGAAGTAGATAGATTTATCTCAAATCAGACCTTGTAATTGAGAAAGCCAGAGAATGTTTCCTTATGTTGAAGTACCTTGACTTTAGGGTTGACATTTTGGCTATTAAATTATACAACTGATAAGTTTAGCAGACTCAATTTTCAGGAGACATACTCTTTTTCAGCCCTTGGTAGGTAGAAGGAAACCACATAAATCTTTGCTTTCTCAACAAACTAGTCTTTATTTCCCTTCTTCTAGAAGGGAGCACTAGGTTCTGCTCAGGGCTTATCAATCAAATTCATTTTTACCTTGAAAAGCATTTCTAAGTCAAATGTCTCAACATTTAAAATTAGTGAGTACCATTTGACTCATTGAAAACCCGCTAAAATTTTGGATTCTGTTATAGTAAATGTTCTTGAGTTTTTGTTAAAGGTATATATGATTATATGTTATAATATATGATTATATTTTCAACCAATTAAAAGTATTTTTATTTGTAAGTATTTTTAAAAGATATATTATGTTAATTAATATTACCACATATAACTCTAACTTAAATATATTTGTATTGGGTACAACAAAGATTGCTCAGAACAAACCTGAGATCAAGCTGTGGTTTGTTTTGTTTTTAAATATGCTGAAGAGAGGGGGTGGGAGGGAATAACAGAGATGCCTTGTTCCTCTTGTGCTGGCACATTTTCTCAGGAAATTAAAATTGTCACTTGATATGTAACTTCAAAGATATTAATATTATGTTATAAGCAGTAGGGTGCCATTCATCACTAGTTGGTGAGAATTGATTGTTAAAATGTCAAGCATTAACAGGAGAGCAAGTAAGTGTTGGAAAGGATGTGGCAAAGTAGGAACACTTATACATTGTTGGTGGGATTGTAAAATGGTATGACCACTCTGTAAGGCAGTTTGGTGTTTCCTCAAAAAGCTGACATAGAAATTCCTCTGTTTAGAATATATCCCGAGACAATGAGAACTAAGGCACAACAGAGACTTGTACACCAATGTTCATAGCAGTGTTATTCACCATCACAAGAACATGGAAACAACACAAATGTCCAACCACAACTGAATGGATTGAGAAATTATGGTACACTCACACAGTGGAATACTACACAGCACACAGGAGCAATGATTTTGTAAATTATTACCGAACTTGGAAGGGACTGGAAAGCATTATGTTGTGTGAACTAACTTAGTCCCATAAGGACAAATACTGTATAACACCATTATTGTAGAATGAGTATGAAGATCCAAAGATTGGGGTGCGGGTGGAAACGGAGGGTTTGGGGTAGGCAGAGGGGGTAGGGTGGCAGTGGTGGTTAAACATAGGCTTACCCAATTTGATGAGGGGGGCTAAGGAAGTAGGAAAGATCTGGTGTTAAAAACAATGTATTTGAACTTTGTAAATAAACTAGTATAAAATAATTTTTTTTAAAAGTCAAGTATTTTGCAGTTCAATTGTTAAATTGGCAATGGTGAAAGTATTTATACCATGGAAATTGGCAAACACTGTAAATCAGGACTTTTTTGTGTGAAGAGTTAGGTCAGAAACCTACCACTGTTAGTAAACTCACCTGTTTTGTTGGCTCTCTGTTGCTGCCTTATTCCTGAGACCATCATTTCTAAGGGAGAGAGTACAATTGCCTACATCTACAACTGGAGAGATGCCTACCAATAATGTTTGCATCCTGCTGGTATTGCAGTATCTGCCTTTGCTATCCTTGCTTTTTGTCCAAGCAGCTGTTTTACACTTTATATCTAAAATAAAAGATATGTTAATTACAATTCTGTAACTGATTTATTTGTGCCTTATTAGACTAGAATTAGTCATCTATAGATTACAAAGGTGCCCCAGAGAAATGCTTGCCAATATGCAAACTTGCCCAGCAAGAATTAGTCAAAATTGAGAGTTAGGTTGATAATTTTTGGTCAAAGAAGGACTCATCTTTGATGGGTTAGTCGATTATTCTCTCTCCAGCAATCTCTCCACCATCATCACCCCACTCCATTCTCACCGTCAATTCTATCACCAGACCTTCTCACACTAATTGCCCTCTACCTTTGCCCAATCAAAAGTATTTTAAAACCCCAAGGGTTAAGTTGCTGCTCTGCAAATTATAGCTAATTGATAAGTAGCATGGTCCTGTGCATTGAAATGACAGATTGAAGCAAAATGTATTTGCACATCTCGAAGATTAAATCTTTGTTTTTATGTTTTATCCTAAAAAAGCAATTTCAGGGGAGTAGAGATAATATTAAAGAAGAAACAAAAGTGCATTGATAAATTTGAAGATTAACTTCAATTACAAGCTTTACATTATGATTTCTCTCCCTCTCTTTGCCATCCAATAGGGTTAAACTCATAGCTGAACTTCTATTGGGTTTCCAAGGCTATAAAGCACATGTGAAGAGATTGTTCATATTTCTCCTGAGGAATTTATGATAAATTCAAACTTCCAGAAAAGTAGGGCCTTATGGTTAGTAGTCAAACCCTGTGTGGATTATGGTAGCAGAGCTCCCCAAACTAAGCCTTTGAAGATAGAAATAAAATAGCATTCTGACCCTTTCTCATTTGCATGGATGCAACTTTATTTTAAAATTTACTGTGACTCTGATGGAATACTCCTCTTGAAATGACTCTTCTATGAAGCCCTCATCATCCACAGGAGACTCACACACCTGCTTTGCCCCTGTAACCTCAGGGAGTATGAGCCTATTGCCCTGCAGGAAAATGATCTTATTGTTCAAAATGGCTTTTTCAGCCATTGACTTTGTCTTTTATTACGTGAGAGAAAAACTTAAAGTGTATAAAGTAATTATTAAGGAATTGGTTAATTTTCTTTATTTCATCAAGTTAAACGAAGTGGATTTAGCCACAAACAAGAGGAATCAGGGAGTGCAGCATGTGATTCCTGCACCAGAGATTATGGGCCTGTCAGACCCAGATCTACAGGACATCAGCGTCAGCCTTACTAGAGAACTAGAGAATGAAATGAGATTGACCTGACTTGGGACTGATGTCCCATGGAGCCACTACAGGGAATTTTTGCCCAAACCTGCTGAAAGGCTGGTGGAAACTGCCATTATTGTCAAGAGTAAGGAAACTTTGTAACACTGAACCTAAATCTTGAGGCTGATGCTCAAAGAAATGACAAATATACTTGAGAAACTATATGAATTGAGGAATTATATCCTGTTGCCAATCTGAACTGTAACCAGTTAATTTCAGTAATAAGCCCCATAACCATGCATGTGTTTCTGTGAAGTCTACATGCTTATTGCAATGGATTTTGGACCAGTGGAGCAGTAAAATTGGTGTTGGAATTGGGGCAAATAGGTGAAACAATGTGAAAAGTCTTATCTGATCTTATGGGAATTGGTTTTGTACTATAGACACTGATGGTGACAGTTCCCCTTTGTGGCCATATATGTGCTATCTATGATTTGCTAAAAATTTGGAAGGCCTTTTCCTTCCTGCCATATTTTTTGGGTGAGACACTCCAGCTCACTCATGGCTTTAGGTTTCTCAGCTTAGAGTCAGACACCTGTTCTCTCTATCTCACAACTATAACTAAGAATCTAGCTGGTGCAAACAGTTTGCCCCTATCTACTAACCAAAAGATTGGTGGTTCAAATTCCTTAGAAGTTCTACAAAAGATGGATCTGTTGATCCAAAGCTGTAAGATTCCAGTAGTTTAAATCTTAGTGCATTTCAACATTGAGACATGTAGTGTTACCAATAGCAAAAAATTTGCCTGACAGTGGAATTTTAGAGGTTCTCTTGAAGCTCCTTTTCTAAGCTTGGTTATGAGCCTACAAGTTTGATTCCTTCTCATTCTTCCTGCAAAGAAAGTGAGTCGAGACTCATAGTACAACTACAGTTCTCTCCTCTTAAGTGCTGACATAATTCTCTCTTTTAATACCTC